TATGATATTCATTGATTTACCAATATTGTACCATCCTTGCATCCCTGGAATAAATCCATCTTGGTCACGATAGATGATCTCTTTGATGTATTTTTGAATTCAGTTTGCTAATATTTTGTTGAAGATTTTTGCATCTATGCTTATCAGGGATATTGGTCTATAATTTTCTTTTTTTGTGGTGTTTTTGATTTTGGTATTAGAGTGATGCTTGCCTTATAGAATGATTTTGAAAGTATTCCCTCTTCTACTTTTTGGAATACTTTAAGAAGGATGAGTATTAGCTCTTCTTTAAATGTTTGGTAGAATTTGACTGTGAAGCCATTTGGTCCTGGAGTTTTGTTTTTTGGGATTTTTGATTACCAATTTGATTCATTGCTGGTAATTGATCTGTTCAGATTTCTGTTCCTTCCTAGGTCAGTATTGCAAGGTTGTGTTTTTCTAGGAAGTTGTCCATTTCTTCTAGGTTGTCCAATTTACTGACATATAATTTTTCATAGTTTTCTATAATCATTCTTTTTATTTCTTTGGTATCCATTGCAATTATTCCTTCTTCATTTCTGATTTTGTTTGTGTGTACACTCTTTTTTTTTTCTTGATAAGTCTGGCTAAGGGTTTATCTAGTTTATTTTCTTGAAGAACCAGCTTCTGGTTTCATTGATTTTTTTCTAGTGTTTTATTCTCTATTTTATTTATATCTTCTCTGATCTCTATTATGTTCCTCCTTCTACTAACTTTGGGATTTATTTGTTCTTCCTTTTCTAGTTTCTGTAATTGTGAGTTTAGACTGTTTGTTTGGGTTTGTCCTGTTTCTTGAAGTAAGCCTTTACTGCTATGTACCTCCCATTTAGAAATGCCTTCTCAGCATCTCAGATTTTGGGTTGTTGAATTTTTGTGTTCATTTGCCTCTGTGTATTGCTTGATTTCTGTTTTAATTTGTTCATTGATCCATTGAATATTTAGAAACATGATGTTTAGCCTCCATGTGTTTGTATGCTTGCTTTCTTTGTGTAATTTATTTCTAATTTCATACCATTGTGGTCTGAGAAGCTGCTTCTGCTTGATGCAATTTATTCAGTCTTTTTAAATTTATTGAGGCTCTTCTTGTGGCCTAGTATGTGATCTATTCTGGAGCAGGTTCCATGTACACCTAAGAAAAATGTATATCTTGCTGCTTTTGGGTGGAATGTTCTGTAGATGTCTGTTAAGTCCATCTGATCTAATGTGTTGTTCAGTGCCTCTGTTTCCTTATTTATTTTCTGTCTGGTTGATTTGTTTATTGATGTGAGTGTAAAGGCTCCTAAAATGAATGTGTTGCTATCTATTTACCTCTGTAGTTCTGTTAGTATTTGTTTTACATATTTATATACTCCTATTTTGGGTCCATAGATATTTATAATGGTTATGTTCTCTTCCTGGACTGTGTGCAACTCCTTTATCATTATGTAATGTCCTTGTCTCTTGTTATTTTCTTTGTTTTGAAGTCTATTTTGTCTGATGTGAGTACTGCCTCTGCTGCTTTTTTCTCTCTATTATTTACATGAAATATCTTCTTCCATCACTTCACTTTTAGTCTGTGTATGTATTTGGGTCTGAAATGAGTCTCAGTGTAGGCAGCATGTAGATGGATCTCTTTTCCTTATCTATTCTACCACTCTATGTCTTTTAATTGGTGCATTCAGTCCTTTTACATTTAAGGTAATTATTGATAGGTATGTACTTATTGCCATTTTATTAATTGTTTTTTGGTTGTTTTGATACTTCCTCTCTGTTCCTTTCTTCCTATCTTATGCTCTTGTCTTGTTATTTGGTGGTTTTCTTTAGTGTTGTGATTGGATTTCTCTTTGCTAATTTTTTTGTGTGTCTATTGAGGCTTTATGTTTGTGGTTACCAAATGTTCAAGGATAGCTTCCTGCCTATATAACAGTCTGTATTAAGTTGCTGATTACTCTATTTCAAACACAAACTTTTTTTCTTTTTCCTCATTCACACTTTATGAATTAGATGTCATAATCAGCACTTTTTGTGTATCCCTTGACTGATTTTGTGTATAGTTGATTGTGCTTCTTTTGTTTTGTTTTAATTTTGTACTTGCTTGTTAATTAATTGGTCTACTACCTTTAGTGTGGGTTTATTTTCATTGGTGAAAGCTATTAAGCTCCGGAACATTTCCATCTAGAGCAGTCCCTTTAACATATCCTCTAAGACTGGTTTAGTGGTGGTGAATTCCTTCAACTTTTGTTTTTTTGGAAATTGTTTAATCCCTGCTTCAAAGTTAATGATAATCTTGCCACCTAGAGGATTCTTGGTTGGAGGTCCTTCTGTTTCAGTATATGAAATATTTCATGCCACTCCCTTCTGGCCTGTAAAATTTCTGCTGAGAAGTCTGCTGATAGCCTGAAGGGTTTTCTTTATATATAATCTTTTTTCTTTCTCTGGATGCCTTCAATACTCTCTCCTTATCCTTGATCTTTGCCATTTTAATTATATGCCTTGGTGTTGTCTTCCTGGGGTTACATTTGTTAGGGGCTCTGTGCACTTCCATGACCAGGATGTCCATTTCCTTCCCCAGATTGGAGAAGTTTGCAACAATTATTTCCTCAAAGAGACTTTCTATCCCTTTGTCTTTCTCTTCTTCTGGTACCCCTATTATGTGAATATTGTTTCATTTGGATTGGTCACACAGCTCTTACCATTCTTTCAGTCCTACAGATCCTTTTTTCTCTCTGTTCCTTGGCTTCATTGTGTTTCTGTTCTCTAATATCGGACTCATTGACTCCCTCCTTTACTTTTAGTAATCTACTCTAAATCCCTCCATTGTGTTTCATTTCAGTCACTGTATTCTTCAGCACTGAGTGGCTCATTTTCAGGTCTTCTATCTCTTTGTTGAAGTCCTCCCTGAGATCTTGGATATTTTTCTGTAAATAGGAGCATGTTTAGGACTTTATTTTGAAACTTTACCAAGAAAATTGGTGATCTCCGTTTCACTTAGCCCTCTTCCAGGTGTCCTGTCCTGTAGTTTTGTTTGGAATATATTCCTCTGCCTCCTCACTTTGTCAGGGCTCTGTGTTTCTTCATTTGTATCTGCTATGCTTCTGACCTATAAAATAATAGCTTTCTGAAGGAGGCATCCTGTGGTGCCCAGAAGCTCAAGACTCTTTATTCTCCAGTGCCTGGTTCTACTTTGTGGGAGCCCCAGCTGTTGGTGTGCAGTGGGTGTGGCCACCTTTCTGTCTGTCTTCCACAGTGGTCTGAGTCTGCACTGGCAGTTTGCTTCAGCCACCACTTTTGTTATCCAAGCAGAAGCATCTGCTGGGATCACTTGGACAGGGCTGCCCTCTGCCTGCCTGGAAGTGATGGCAGGGCTGCAGAGTTAATGGAGTGGGCAGGCTGCTGTGCAGCTCTGCCCTGGCCAGAATGCACAGCACTGGGCATGGTTCCCCATGGGGAGAAAGGAGCTCTGGGAGCTGGCTCCTGCAGGTACCTCCCCATTGCGCTGAAACAGGGCCAAGGAAGCTGGGAGAGTCTCCTCTGCCTGCCAAGCAGCAAGTCTGATGCTGCTGCTGGGCTGAGTGGGTTGGCTGGCACTGCACACAGGGAAGTGGCTTGGGGTTGAGTTGCCATTGAGGGGGTTGGAGTATCTGGGACTCCTGCAGTTTCCAACTGGCCAGGCCAAGGAAGGGCTTGGGAGGTACTGTCCACTTGCCCTTTCTCCTGAGGAGAGAGGTCTGTTCAATCCTCTCCCCTCTGGCACCCCTCCCACTGCTGGCAAGTCTTTCAAATTGCCAGCTCTGCTTTGTTCTCAGGACCAGGAAAGCATGCCTGTCCTCCACAAGTGGCTGGAGTCTCAGCCTCCCAAAGTGTTCCAGGTGTGCCTGGTGTCAAGCCCCACTAATCACCAGAACCCCATGTAATGTGGACTTGTGCTCCCAGAGCAGATCTCCAGGGCCAGGTGTGCTGTGTTCCTGGGCTCCTATTCCCTCCCCACTCCATTCCTCTTTATCTCGTCTGTGGGCTGGGGTTGGGGTAGAGCTTGGGTCCCACTCGATCATGGCTGTGCCACTTTACCCTTTTCTGTATGGTCTTTTCTTCTTCCCCAAGTATAGGTGGTTTGTTCTGCAGTCTTCAGATCATTTTCAGGTTTAGTTGTATTTGCTTTATTTTCTTCTTTTGGGAGGTGGTTTCTGCCTTGCCTTCCTACTCCATCATCTTTTTCTCCCTGCTTTTCTTTGCATTGAGTGAATTTTTCCAATATAGCATTTTAATTTATTTAATAATCTTTCAATATTTTTAGTTTATTTTTTAGTAGTTGTTCTAGTTTTTACTATATGTATCATATCAAAATCAGCTTCTGATTTATACCACCTTAATGCCATATACAGAAATGTGGCTTATAAATATCTCTCTTCTTTTCTCCCCCATTTTTGTGGTGGTGTTCTACATACTACATCTATTAGTGTTAGAAACCTAATAGTACATTGTTATAATATTAGTTTACTATCTGTAGTCATTTCCTTAGTTCAGTAGAACTTTGCTCCAACCCACCTCCTTTGTTCTGTGTAATATAGTTTCCAGTATTTGTTGGAAAATAGCCATTTTAGATAATATATTGCAGCAACTTTTGGTACTGATCGTATACCTCCTCTAGGGCTTGTAATTAACACTTGATTATTTGTTTAGGAGTGGCTGTATTATTTTAGTATAAAGTCTGCTTCCCTTCCCACAGTATAAAGCCTGTGCACCTTGCTTTTTAATGTTTAGATATATCTTGCAAATATATACTGTATATAATAACTTCCTTAATCTTTTTTTATGACTACCTATTACCTAATTGTACATGTGTGATGTAATTTACTTAGCCAGTTCTCTCTTAAATGCATGTAAACTTCTCCTAATCTTTTGCTGTTATAAACAATGATGCAGAGAATTTATTGCACAGATCTTATTTTACACATGTGAGATTATTTATGAGACAAAATCCTGGAAATGGATGTGCTGAATAAATCTGTAGTTTGGACAAAATTGCTAAAATAATTTTGAAGAGATTGTACCAATTCACTCTCCCACCAACAATGCACAATAGTGCTTCTCCATACTCTTACCAAATAGGGTTTTATCAAGGCTTTTCATCTTTCTCATTGTGATAAATCAAAAGTGGTATCACTCTGTAGTTTTGACTCACATTTCTTGTATTATGAGTGTCATGAAGCACCTTTTCATATGTTCAAAAGCCATGTATATTTCCTTTTCTGACACTTGTCTATTTGTTACTCCTTTTTTTCATAGAATTGTTTGTCTTTTTCTTATTGATTTATAGGAACTCTATAAGTTAGGAAGGTAAGTTCTTTATCTATAGATGAGCAGCAAATATTTTTCCTAGTACTCTATACTGTGGACACACCACAGTTTGTTTAACTATTCACCCAATTAAAGGAAATTTGGATATTTTACAGTTTGGATGATTAGGAATAACGTTGCTATGAACATTCATGCACAAGTTCTTATGTGGAAATAAGACATTGGGATAAATGTCCAACAATAGATGGTTGGGTTGTATGGTAAGTCCATTTTTAATTTTGACAGGAATTGCTGGGCTTTTTTCCTGAATGGCTGTAATATTTTATATTCCCATCTGCAGTGTATGAGTGATCCAGTTTCCTGCCTCCTTGCCAGCATGTTACACATGCACACATTTGTGTGTGTGTATGTGTGTGTCCCTATGCTATTATATTGCACATGGAGGCTTTGATAATCACCACCACAATCATGATACTCAACTGTACCCATCACCATAAGGCTTCCTCCTGTCACCACTGTATAGCCACAACCATCTCCTCCCTCCTACTCCTAAGCCTGGCAAACACCACTCTATCCTCATCTCTATTACTATGTTACTTCCTGTGGGGCTTCTCCAAGTTGTTGTGTATCAGTAGTTTGTTCTTTGTTTGTTGTGTCTCAGGGACTAAGGAGGCCTGAGGAGAAAGAGAGAGAATAATGGTGAGTCAGTGGAGCAGTCAGAACATATATAACATTTACTGATTAGGTTTTGCCACTTTATATGTGTGCTGTTTGTGGCCCCCCAAAACAATTACAATAGTTACATCAAAGATCGTGGATCATAGATCACAAGAAATATAATAATAATTAAAAAGTCTGAAATATTGCAGAAATTACCAAAATGTGACACAGAGACATGAAGTGAGCAGATGCAGTGGGAAAAATGGCACTGACAGACCTGCTCGATTCAGGGTTGCCACAAACCATCAGTTTGGAAAAAATGCAGTATCTTTGAAGTGCAATAAAGCAAAGTGCAATAAAATGAGGTGTGGCCTGTACACTACTCACAGGAACTGTAGACTCTGATGGTGCTAATTCAGCCTTGAATAACCTCTTCATGGAAGGATGAGGTTGGAACAAAAAGATACTGATCTAGTGCAGTTTATAAGTCTATATACTGAACGGTGTCCTGTCTTAGGCCCCTGCTTCAACATTCAAAGATGCTCTACCAGTTAAAGTCCCACTTGGCCACATTAATAGAAAATTATGTTCTGTCCTCTATAAACACCTTTCCCTGATGTTCCAAGAATCCAAGGATACTTACTCTGTCCAGAGCGTCTACCCTGTTTACTCTCACTTCATCATGGACCTGGATGGCCTACACAACTCAAGAAAATGGCCTGTTAATCATAGCTGTTGCTTCTGTTGCTAAGCCTTGATCCTTCTTGAGGGGAGGCCAAAAGATTGTCCCTTTCACCAGCATAGAGGCAACTGTTGTTGAAGCATGGGGGCAGCCAAGTCAGGAAGAATAAATTGTCTGCTTGTCTTCTCTGTTGCCAGGATCCTGATGCAAGGTGATCTATGATTGACCTACCTTGGGGCTTGAAACTGGGATTCCCTTTCTGCCAGCCCCAGAACAGGGATGTCTATCATCCAGCAAAGCTGGTCCCTTCCATACTACCAAATCCCTAGTTCTGCCCTCCCCTGACCTCCAACAGAGTCTAGAAAGATCCTTCTCAATGGGGCTCTTATCCTTACCCAGACAGGGTACCTCAAAATGTGGCTATGTTACAGAGACACCAAGGCCTGATTACTCAGAGGAAAGCAAAGAATCATCTTTCAGAAGCTGCTGAGGTGAGAGTGTGGTTAACAGAGAAAGAGGGACAATGAAAGAGATAAACACTCATAAAGCTCATACTAATACACCAAGAACTAGTATAATGTATTAAAATGTTTTCATTTTTGTATTTATGATGGTTTTGATGCTGGGGTTCTTGTTTGCATAGTAGAAGAATGAATTTAGCAAACACCCAAGGCAGGGGAGCCAGGGAGAGGCTTTTATTGAGAGATAGAGTGAGAGGACAGAGCTGCTGGCTCACACCAGGAGGGGACAAGACAGCCTGTGATGGTTGGAGAATTGTCTAGGGGATTCATAGTCTGTTGAGTATTTTCAGGAATGGGGGTAAAGGGCTAGGGGTACAGACTTGTACCACCTGCCCTACCCCCAAGGTGGGCTGGGTTGTTGTCTGTTTGCTAGGGCTGTTTGTAGTTGAGATACAGTGAAGTCACAGGGGATGCTGAGATACCCTTCTTTATTTGTGGAACACTCAAACATTCCAGGTTAAGTTGCTCCTGGCCTTTTGAGCTCTAACTGATCTCACTGAAGATGTCTATATTCCTAGTCTGGTGTCTTTACCCTAGAGAATTAGTGTGACATTGACTTTGCATAATGCTTAATGCGGAATTTTGATAGAGACTTCTTTGCACATTGTTACATTGTTCTGTCTGTAATTATCTTGCTTTGCTTTTTTTTTCCAGAGGCCCTCACCCTACTTTGCCTAAACCCACAGTCCCTGTCTCAGTTTGACATGTTGGGGCTTTGCTGGCTCGGGAGGGACTGCCCCTCACAGGACTCGCTAGTTCCGAGAGATGGTAAATAACTTGCCTGGGAACATGCCTTTCACATGCAAACCAACCCATCCAGAGCCTCTACTCTTAATGTTCTCCTTTGTCTAACTCTGATACACCAAGCCAAAACTTCTACTTCCCTAAATCAGCCCAAGGTCAGGTACCAAACAACTGGAAACCACCCCAATAGCCTGAAACCACTGAAATTATGCAAACTAGCCAACCCAAGCTGTTTATCCTGCCTCACCCTTTCCTAAATTTCAGTCAACATGTGATGGCCACATATGAGATTGTGTAACAGATGCAAGTTCCAAAGACACCCAGCCACAGAGCAAGTCTGCGTCCACCCATTCACTCTCTCCTCCAGGTGTTTACTCAGGGGTAGCAGGCAGAAAACTGGGAGGCAAGATGGAAAGCTGAAAGAGATCCCCTCCTGAGGTGTATGGAAGCCTCCAATGAGTTCAAAGCAGCCATTTTCTAGAGAAAAGAACAGGGCAAGAGAGTGGAGAGAAACTCGCCACAGGTATTCCAGTGCCCAACTAGTAAAGTCCCAGACTTCCAACTACCAGGACTCAGTGGGAGAGTTGAGAGAACCTCTCTTCCATTCTGGGCCTTTGTGGAGGGAAGGGCAGCTGAAAGAGATCTCCAAGTGTAGAAGGAGGCTAGGCAGAAAAACAAGCAAAACTCCCCCACAGCCCAATAACCTGGCAGCTTGGCTGTAAAGCAGGGGATTTCCCCATAGTTGTGAAACCCAGGTGGGTCTCTAGGATCTTGCTAATCCTCACATGCCAGACTCTCCTGAAAGGAAAGTCCTGATCCCACTCTCCTAACATTTGAAGCCAGTGATGAACTGAATCAAACTAAAACTACAGCAGACAGATGCATGTCAACTACAAATTGAATTGACTTAGCCTGAGAAAGACAAGGAGGTACATCTGGAAATGGTTCTTAGTGGCAATTACTATCCAGAAAGAAATCTGTATTTTCTTTGAGATTATAATTTTATCTCTGGTTATTTAGGAAGCTTAAATTGTGTATGCATTTGTATCTATATGCAAAACAATTTTAAAAAATCAGTTTAGATTCACACATTGTGCCACGTCACCACATAGAAACATTATCTCGAAATGGATCATAAACTAAAATGTAAAACCTAAAACGATAAAATGTCTAGAAAAAAAACAGGAGAAAATATTTGTACCATAGATAAAATACCAAAAATGCAATCCATAAAAGAACAAATCAATAAATTGGACTTTATCAAAATTAAAAACTGCCATTCTTCAAAAGACAATGTTCAAAGACTGAAAGACAAGCCATAGATCACAGGCTAGGAGACACAGACTTGTTTACAAAGCAAATATCTGATAAAGGACTTGTATCTAGAATATATAAAGAACTCTTAAAACAGAGCAATAAGAAAACAAACAACCTATTTTTTTTAATGGACAAACAAACGATTTCAGCAGACACTTTACCAAGAAACAGACAGCAAAAGCAAAGGAGAAAAAATGTTCAACATAATTAATCTCACTAGGGAAGTGCAAATTAAAATCAAAATGAGATACTACTATGTGCCTATTAGAAGAGCTAAGATTAAAAAGACTGATCATACTATGTGTTGACAAGGATGTGTTGTAACTGAAACTCATAGGGTGCTGGTGGGAATGTAAAATGGTAAAACCACCTCGGGAAACAGTTTGGCAGCTTCTGAAAAAGTTTAACATTTATTATGTGATTCAGACATCCTAAACCTAGGTATTTACCCAAAAGAAAGAAAATATATGTCCATACAAAGACGTGGACACAAATATTCATAACAGCTTTATTTGTAGCAGTCAAAAATTGGAAACAACCCAAATGCCCATCAACAGATGAATGGAATAACAAATTGCAGTATTCATATAATTGAATAGTGCTTAGCAATCAAAATATTGGGCTATCTGATGTGGATGAATCTCAGAATAATCATGCTGAGTTAAACTAGACAACAGAATAGACACTGCAATTCCATTTATGTAAAACTCCAGAAAATGCAAATTTATAGTAACAGAAAACAAATCAGTGGTTGCTTCAAAAAAGGAGGGTGAGGATGAGGCCAGGGAGAGATTATAAAGGGGCTCAGAAAACTTATGGAGACGGCGGATGTGTTACCAGGTTCGTGCATTCCGATGCTACAGAAAAGAGCACTGAACTTGGGGAAAGAAAGCAGATGGAGTTTATCAGAGATAGCTTGTATGCAAGAGAGTCCACAAAAAAGAGGGAAGTCGAGCTCCTCAGGGGGTTGTGCCGTTGCAGAGGGTGAGGGGTTTGGGAGGTATGGTACTGAATTATATCATGGTGTCACCTCCATCACTTAGCTTCTGCTCACCCACTTCCCATCAGCACATGCTGACTCACTAGCTTTCTCCAAACATGGTCAGGGACCTCCCTTTTTTATGTTTTTATAAGATGACACAAATAATTTTTGTAATTTCTCTTTCTCCCCCAAGGCAATGATTCTCCTGACTAGAACAGGGACTGGTCATTGATCATTGATCCTTGGTACATTAGAATGCCTGAATTGAATAATAAGTGTATGTTTAACTTTTTCAGAAGCTGCCAAACTGTTTTCCAAAGTGGTTTTACCATTTATATTCCCACCAGCACCTATCGTTGGCTTATGATATGGTCGGTTGATGTTGACCGTATGGCTGGCTTATGGCTTACTATAAATTCTTCTTAAAAGACATTTTAGGAATTTTACCTTTTAACCTTTGAGCCTCAAGATGAAGGTTTAACGTAAAATGTAGTCCTTCTTGATATTTCCTATGCTGGCTCACTTTCAGGCATGTTCCGTTGTTTCAAGGATGTATATGTATGTCAAAACATGTCAACCTGTACACTGTAAATAGGTGAAGCTTATTTCATGCATATTATACCTCAAGAAAGCTGTTTTCATGAAACACTAAGATACCACTTCCTACTCACCAGATAGGCTACCATGAAAAGTTTTGGTAATACCTAGAGTGTGGAGAAATGAGAACTTTCATCACTGTTGGGGGAAGCCTAAATATGCATGACTATTTTGGAAAACTGACAGGATTTATGAAAGGTCAACAAACCTATCTCATGACCCAACAATTCCACTTCCTGGATGATACTCAAGAGAAGCAAGTGCATATGTCTACCAAACACATGTGCAGGACTGTTCATAGTAACTTCATGTTTACAAGTGAAAAATAATCTATCAATATTAGAATGAATAAGCTGTGGTATATTTACACAAAATAATACAACACAGAAAAAAAATGAGCTACTGTTACAGAGTGGTAACACATGATGAATCTCAAAGATGTGAGGTGGAATGAGATGAGCCACACATGAAGAAAACATGCTCTCTGGTTCCATTTTTATGAGGCTCAGATAGGAAAAACTAATGGTAAATCAGATCCAAATAGTAGCTACCTTTGGAGAACTGTCGATTGGAAGGAGGCTAAGTGAACCTTCTGGGTTGCTGGATATATTCTCTATGTTGGTCTCTGTGTTGATTACATAGAAACATGTAAGAATTCCTTCAGCTGTACACTTAAAATTTGCAAACTATACTAAATGAAGTTATACAGCAATGAAAATTCAAACAGCAGCAACATAAATGGCCACTCAAATGTCATAATTTATAAAGGGAGAAGTTGGTAAGGAGAAAAAAGGATGTATAGAATATAATTCGAAGAAACTGGGCAGTGGAGGCTTCACTCACCGAGAATTTCTGATTATAAATATGTAGTTGCTCCTGCAGTTGTAGGGGTCAAAGGCAGGCTGCCCCAAGATGCACCGCTTTGGCAGGCAGATTATGTCAGACCTGAAAAAATCAAGGCCCAAAAGTCTCAGAAAGAAACTGTGACTTTCCTCTTAACAGCCTAAAAAGAGTTTACGCAGAGGGCCTGCTCCATGAATAGCGCTCTCTCCATAGATACCTACATTGTAATATGAACTACGAGTGGTAGACAAGGAGGATTTTAGCAAAGTCTGTCTGTTAAAATTCCTTCCTGTATGCAGTTGTGACCCAGCGAACATTTATTTACCAAACATTTACTGCTGTGAATTGCTGTGAATTGCTTCCCTTTCCCTTTGAAGTCCCAGAACTCTGCTCCCTTCCTTAGTTCAGGATGACAGATATATATCATTGTTCCTGGCTGACTTTGGAACCTCATGTCTGCATGGATTCCCCATAGTTTCAGAGATTTTGTTTTCTCCCGTTAAGCCACTTCATGTCAAGTTGATTCTTAGACCAGGTAAAGGGCAGAGAAAAAGTTTTCCTCTCCAACACTGTATCTCAGGAATTTTAATTGGCTCTGACTTCTCCCTCCCCTAATCTTGGTTGTCTATATTTATCAGGAGATATAATAGAATTATTTTTGAAAATTGGAGTTCCTATTTATTGTTGTAAATGTTAGAGGAATCAAACTATGGTATGAATGTTTCACTTTTGTAAGTTAGGAACTTACAGTTCCAGTCAGGCCCTTTTTTCTGAGCTGAAGAATCCCAGGATCCAGCTGCCTATCAAGCATATCCACTTGAGATCTCAAACACAGCACACTCAAAACTGGACTCATCATCTCCCATGCACCCTCTTGTCCTCCAAGTTTATCCACCATCCTGCATCCCCATCACTGACCCACCAGAAACTCAAAAATCAAGCTAGTTTTTTTCGTTCTATCTTATATTTCCCCACACAAGCAATCAAAAAATTCCATTAATTCTGATCCCTCATATCTCTTACCTGACCCCTCCTCTCTGTACCTCCTGCCTTATTCTATCTTGGCCTTTCATTATTTCTCTCATCTGCTGTAACAGCAACCCCTCAAAGAATGATTTGCAGTCCACAGTCCTGCTAAGAGACCATGAATGAATCAAAAATGAGGATTTCATTTTCATGGACTAAGGTGCACAATTCCATGTATTTGTATATACACCAAAGGATTAATTATCAATAACTACCTAGGTGAGTTACTAAGTATTACTGAAACTTTGTATTAGTTAACTAAGGTTAGCACAGTAATAGGATTTACTGATTACTCTAAACTGTATTCTACAAAGAAGCCCAGCTGAATACAATGTTATGATACATAAATAGGTGGAATTACCCTAATTTTCAGAGAGGATGCCTTCTTATTAGTGTCATGGTTTTCAGTTCCTGCTTTTATGCTTTTTAATCCTAATTTCCCATAAACGTAGATTTATCCTACTGAACTTCAGGTTTATAGCTAATACTTGAAGGCGTATGTGCATTTTGATTCAAATAGTGATCATTCACAACCCTAATGCTAATGTAGATATACATATAATCCCACCAAACTTTGGTTTTAAAAAAACAACACCTCATCCTCAGTACTTTTTCCTTAGGACTGAGTACTTCTAACTCAGGAAGTGGAGACAGTATGGTAAGTAAGTTATGGGGTCATTTCTTCTCTGCAAAGTGGACGTTTGAAGATCGCCATCTCTACTATTACCTTGCCTTTAATTCCTGCCTTTCTTCTCCAAACACACACACACTATCACTTAGTCTATAACTACCAAACAGTGATCTTCTTTACAGAAAAAAAAAATTTCTCCTGCTCAGAATATTTCAGTTTCTACATAGCTTTCAGCAATGATTATTAACAGATTTTAGGTACTTTTCCCTTTAAGAATAAGTGGATAATAAACAAAATTTTTGAATTACTTTGACAAAAACATACATATGCAATACACATGTTATAATTTTGTATAATTGTGGAGATTTTGCAACACCCATGAAGCCCATCCATAGATACTCTAGGGATTCCCTCAGTCAATATAGTTTAAAAATGGAATCTCTGAATAGTATGAAAGATCTTTTGCCTACCTTACCAAACTCCTCATTTTCACTCCCTACTTCCAAAGGAATTTCCAGAACATACTATGTTATCTCTTATTCCTCCTTTTTGTAAAAAAAAAATCTTTTAATTTTAGAATAGTTTGGGATTTATGTAAAAATTGCAACAATGGTACAGTTTCTATATACTCCACTTTCCCCTATTATTAACTTCTTCCATCAGTGTGATACATTTGTTACAGTTAATGAGTCAATATTGATTTGTTATTGTTAACTGAAGTTCATACTTTATTCAGATATCCTTAGTTTTTACCGTATGCCATTTTCCTGGTCCAGGACCCTATGCGGGTGCTGTACTGCCTTTAGTTGTTACGTCTCTTTTGACTCCTCTTGGATGAAAGAGTTTCTCAGGTTTTCCTTGTTTTTGATGACCTTGACAATTTTGAGTACTGAGTAGGTACGTTGTAGAATGATCCTTGATTGGGATGTGTCTGATGTGTCTCTTATGATTAGCTAGAGTTAAATGTTCAGGGGCGGAAGGCTGCAGAGGCAACATACCATTTTCATCACATCATATCCAGGATACACACTATCAAAATAATTTATCACTGCTGATATTAGCCCTAGTCCCCTGGATGAAGTAGCATTTGTCAGGCTTCTCCACTGCAAAATTACTCTATTCCCCCTTTCCATGTCCTACAGTATTTCCTACTGTATCCTTAGGAAGGGAGTCACTATGCAAAACCCACACTTAAGAAATGAAGAGTTATATTCCACTACCTTAAGGGTAGAGTATCTACATAAATAACTTGAAATTCTTCCACATGGGAAATTTATCTATTCTCCCTTCCTTTTATTTTTAAATATGTTTGCCTCTATCAAATGCTGACATAACAAAACAATTTCCAAATTAGAATGGCTTAACACACAATTTATTTCTTGTCCATACCACTATGTCTACCATGGCTCAGCAAGTGGTTCTGGTCCATGTAGTCACTCAGGCACCCTGGCTGACAGATGCTCCACCATTGGGTAACTACACCTTCTGACACATACCACTTCACCAGTTGCTAAGGCAGACAAAGAACACTAGAGTGTTTTGCATTAGTAATTAAATGCTTAAGCTTGGAAGTGACACCTGTCATATCTACCCGTATCTCTTTGGCCAGAATTAGTTACATAGCTCTGTTTGACTATAAGGGAATAGGCAAGTATAATTCTGCCTTGTGCCTAGAAGGAGAAAGAGCCAGACATGGGTGAGCACTAGAAGTTTCTGCCACATCTCCTACCTCAGTTGTCCACCAAACATCCTATTCTTCCTCCAATTCTCATTCAGCTGAAATGCTGTGAAGGTTTCACTGTGTCTTCCTCACAGATGTCAAATCCCCTGCATGTTTCATCAGCCCTTTGGGAAGACCAACATTAAAGCAGATATTACATTGGATTGTAATTACTGGTTTGCATGTCCTGTAGAGGAAAACAATCATGCTTTTCCACCTTGGTATTCTCAGCATTGATACAGTGCCTATTCCATAGAAGATATTCAATCAACATTTATTATGTACTTAATGAATGAATGGACAAAGAACTCAGCTTTATAACTACACAGAGCCTTCTTCCATAATACAATTACTCATAAATAATTTCTTGGCAATTTAAATATAAAACTTTTTTCCCTTGCTAACTTTAAATAAAGTGTTGAGTCATGCCTTCAATTTTTTTAACCTGCTTTTGCATGAAGAATAAACATATGGTCTTATTTCTGCTTTATTCCAGGGGCCTGAGTTAACTCTATAAAAAAGTTATTCTCTTTTCAAAATTCTGGGCTACCTTTTGTAACCACTTTCTAGTGTTTCAGACGAACATCCTTTCCATAGTTTGTGGTTGGTTTTAAGTTGCAAGTTTGTATTGCTTTGTTGAATCAGTGGTAATGTCAGAAACCTGTTTCAGCACATATGGTCAGGAGAGGAGTAACACCTTAATAGTAGGTGGAAAGCACATTTTGCACAATGGATTTACCAATTTTGTTGAGTATCTATATTGTACACTGAGAAGGCAGAGAAGAAGACTTACAGCATAAGCCCTCAGAGCTCATGATGATGAATGTAAGGACAATGTGATAGTAAACTACAATAAAGGACAATGATGTTATGGATGACATGTGGCTGACAAATGTGTGGTATAAACACCAAGTCCTCTGAGTTCCAGACTGGCATGCCCTGGTTGCAGAATACGTTGGAGGGGAGAGAAACTGGAGGTAAGGAGACTACTTAGAAAGCCATGTCATGGTCCCATCATGATATTCAGGTCTAAACCATTTTTCACACACCACAGTACACACAGATATTTAACTCTCAGTGTAATTGAATTTCTTATATAAGGAGGATATTTTAAATACAGTTCTTTTGTATTTATTTTATTCCCACTCTTTTTCACAAATAGTAGTTTGTGTGTGTGTGCATAAATTTTTCTATTTTAGAAGATAGTGTACTTATGACGAAACTTGAAAATATTTTAAGTCCCTAGATGTTAAAATATCCATTCAATTTTTTAAAGCAGATTAGAGTTTACCATTTTATATTTTATAACTTCCCTAATTTACTAAGTTACTCTTTAATTGAAAATCATTTTGAATCAACCGTCAAGGAAACTGTTTTCTAAAACAAACATGTGAAACACTGATATCAGCCCTTATCATTTTGGGTCCGTTCGTTGAGAGACCCAGGTGTAAATGCACTATGTTTGTGAGTTCAGCTTTTGTTTGACTGAGCTGGAAGTAACTGTTCCCATGCCAGCAACTAGCCACCTGGCAGTGGGATTATACTGACCTGAGTGGGGGTGGGGGGTGAGAAGATGGAGGAGCTGCATCCCAAACCACTTAGAGTGATGCCCAGAAAGAGAATAGCATTATATGCAATTAAATGTGTACATACACATTATCGTTAATAAGATACTTAGCATATTATCTTCTTTGCTTGTTAAGGGTAGCAATAAAATGTTCATTAGTCAAGAAGGGACAAAAATACACATATGTAATCTAATTTCCCTATTTGCAACAATTTCTTCTCCCCCAACATTTTGTGATGTTACCAGAGCTCATTTACAGACTGAATTCACTGATTTCTAGTTCAATCAAAAGAAATTTAATGAATATGCAGTTGGATTTGCACAATAGATCTTGCGGAACCTTAAGCCCAAGGATCATACTTAACAAAGAAATGAAATCAGAATACTCTTCTGAAAGAGGAAGTCAAAATGGGAACATTTCCGTCTCTTTGCAGACAAGACTACATTTTATCACATTTGAAAAATCAGTTAGCTATTTCGTTATAGTTTCTCAATGTTGAATTCTCAATTATTGTGTAAATCAGGAAACAAGTTTTGTCCTTGACCAATGTGAGAAGGAATAAAATTTTTTATAATGTGAAAAGGGGAAGTGTAATCCAGCCAAAGGTCTAACTGCATTGGCCCTGAAGCTTGAAGATAGCAGAAATAATTGAGTATTCAGAGTACTCACAAAAAAAAAAAAAAAAGCCATCCAAAATTATTTTACTAGTCGCTCATACACCAAGCACACTGATTTGTGAAATAGCCTCTAATTGTTCGGTAGAAAACTCATACTTTAAACATAAATATATAAAATGGATTTACACAGCTAACAGGCTCTAAAATCAGGTAAGAGGTAGGCAAAGAAGTTATAGCTTTAAGGGGTGAGAATTGGTTTTCAATAGAATTTCTTCTCTTTCCTTTTCAATTGTTACAAGGTAGTGTGGTAGACTGAAAAGACGATGGAACTGAGTCCAAATCCCTAATTGTTGTATTTCTCCAAGTATGTGACTTCACTTCTCTGGGACATATATTGTTTTCACTTGTTAAATGCAAATAAGACCTACCTATAAGACTCCTGGAATAATTATAGGTAATAGTTATTAAGTGACTAATACTTTAGAAACATTCGATAAACAGAAGCTGGTATTATTTACCTCTCCTTTTTCCTTTAGCCTCAGTGAGTCTGGGTAGTCACCAGCCTTGATCATGCAAACCTAAGTGTGTCTCGAACGCCCTCACTTCCTGCACACCCACCATCATTGGCATCTGGCCTGCTTATCAGTCCTCTAGCTGCAGTCGCCAAGTCCAGGGCTAGAGGGATTTTTAAAAAAATATTTTGATCTTGTTACTCTCCAGTTTAATACTCATGGATAGCTTCCCTTTGCCTTTGGGGGGAAGCCTAAACCTCACTGTCTTTGCGATTAAGAGCAGAGGTCTCACCCTGCCCACTCCAGCCTCCTTTCTCTTGGCCATATTTCACCAGATACCTCTGCACTTCTCTTTGTGTCTGCCCAGCAGACTGGGGAAACAGGGGGCATGAAGGTAGAGGAGAGGGTGAGAGCAATGCAAATACCAGGCTGGTAAAATCTCTGTAACTGGCCATTAAGTCCACAGCAGATTCCATTAGGCTAACGCTGTGACTTAGGCTTAGTGATGGAGTGATGAGTTTCAAACACAGTGACTTGTGGCTCTATGACACAGCACAAGGACTCCAGATTCAGGTAACATAGTATTGGCAGTATAGCAGAAATAATTCCTCTGGTGCATGCTAAAAAGTATTATTTCCTCCAAGTATGACCCAGTTACCTGGCTCCAAATACAACGGCAAGACTATGAGGTAAATTAAATCCAGGTGGATTTCTGGAGTTTGGGTGGTGTCCAGGGACCTGGTAAAGAAATTACCTTGCTTGCTTGATCTATTTTGCAAAAAACAGGAGCTTGAATCATGCGGATTTGGAGAGCTAAAAGAACAGAAAGTAATCCCTAAGCTTTGGGGGAAAATACACTGCTCTTGATTAGGCAAACTGAAATCATCTACAGAAGGGTGAAGAAAATGCCACCTTTGGATTGGGGTCAAGCCCTGTTTCTGAGGCAGGAAAAGTTCCCACAAAAAGTCACTAGGACCCATGGCCTGGCTGCTGGACTTGCAGGGAGCAGCTGTCAGGGGTGCTGGTCCTGTTTGATACACAGCTAGATGAAAGGCAGCTCCCATAGTTGAGTGAGAAATTATTCACCTTAACCTTCTAGCATATGGGCTCATGGAACAGCCAGAAGATGCACCCCTCTGGCCCCAACACCCCCCACAAGCTCCCCCTCCCTGCATGTTCTCTGAGGAGCCACATCCCATGGCAGTGATGAGCCTGGGTTCTGGGCATCTCTGAGCCAAGCCCACAGGGACATCACAAGCTGAGTAATGAGGTCTCCCTGGGTCCTTAAGGGCTGCAAGGAAGTGGCCCTGCTTCATGGGCAAGAGGCTATTTATGCCCTGTGACAACACCGATGCTGATGCCTCCCATTAATGCAGTTTTGATTTACCAGTGATTTATCATTCTGAGGCTGTGTGTTTTTCATAGTTTTTCATGTCCCTCATGTACTAACACAAATGGATTTAATTATTTATTATTGATAGATAAAACAAAATTGCAGGAACAAAACAATAACAAAATAGTGGTGGCATGAATTATAGTGAAATAAGGCCATAAAGACAGAGAGATCTGTCCCAATGGTCTGAGTCAAGGAAAAGCACAAACCTAGGCTTACCTCCAGGGCAAGCCTGAGTCATGGAACCCAAGAGCCATTTTCAGGGAAACAGTTCAATTTCTAGGGCTCTGAGGCACCATCTCACTTTCCACGCTCCAATCACATTCTGATTAGAGCAGGCAAGTCTAGATGACACAGTGTCCTGGGTGTATGTGATTCCATAAATGGGTGCAAGGAACATCACTTTGCTTTACTTTTCTAAGGCAAGCACAATTTGCCACTAAGCTCCACTTCCCCAGTAATGGGGTAATGATAGTCTTTAATTTCTTTAGATGATACCCTGCCTGGGATCTTCCAAGCATCTCATAACCTTATAAAGTTCAGAAAACTTGAGGAAGACCTCAGAACTCCTGCCTGTCCCGGCTGTGGCCAAGATGTTCAACCACTGATTATTGCCCAAGCTGATGAGGCTCATTCAAAGGCAGGACGCCTCTTTTCTGAGCTTCACTGATTCCCAAGTCAGGGTCATTAGTGGTCAATTTCCCTGGCAGCTACATGCCATTCAACACATCTACCACTGCTCTGGGTCCTATGTGGGAATGGGATGCAGGGCCCTGCCATTCAAATGTGCTACTGTTATGGAAAAAACTGGAAAACCTGGGCTGGATCACTAACGGAAGAACCAAGCGGCACTCGGAGGCCTTAGAGGGTTGAGGTTTTATTGTACACTGGCGGGCGCAGAGGGGAGTAATCTCCCAAGGACTGAGTCCTGGGCACAAGGATGGGGGGCGATTTATATTATTTTGATATGTGGCATTTCGGGGTGCGCAGGGCAAAAGAGGAGCCCAGAGGAGGGGAGGAGGGAGCCGGGACTACTCTGCTGACTTTGCCAA